GTTATTTTGGTGTTTTATGTACATTTACTGTAACGTTTCTTTGTTATTATATTATATAAATATAATTAGTGTGGATTGTACAAGTTTAAATAAACTGTGAATATCAATAATCATTGTATATACAATCAAATTAACTTGTAAACATCTATGCATTAATAATTTTATGAAAATCTTAGTTTCATAGTAAATACAAAACAATCATAAATACATTTAATGCAGTCAGTTCTAAACCTGACTAAAGTATGAAGGGAAGTTAATTTATTGATTTAACTGTATAGCTAGAAACACTTAGATAGTGATTAAATTTATTTACGTTTCGTGTGTAACTGTATAGTTCTTGGTGGTATTTATGCAAATAATCACAGTAGCCAAATAAAAATAGCCAGTTACAAAAATCACTAGTTTTGAAACAGGTGACGCCGACCAAGTCACTGGTTTCGTTACGTTTCTTGAAAATGACGTAACGACCCACGTCTAGCTACTACTATGCATGAAAACTAGTGAGTAGTGATGGATCAACTCGAGTTGCGCTTAACTCGAGTTACCTAGAGTTGGATCTCCCTAACTCGAGTTTGGGCTGCTGTGCATAAACGGATTAAGTGATCCAGCAAAAGAGTAAGAACGCAATTCGTTCGTTGTGTGCGCGCTTTGTGTTTCAAAGAGTATTTAGCTACTACCAAAACAATTTGTCATTTATTATTTTATAATAACTAAGTTGTGTAATTTAATTTCTTTTATAATTTTGATTAATTATGATCAATATAGTTATGTAAGTCACAGACCTATTATTGTACTACCTAAAAAGCGTGATTAAGTTGTAAGATACATCATATTTTAAATTAACGCTAAATGTATCACTTAACTTACAATATTTTGAGTTGAGTTGAAAAAAATGAATTGATTTAAGAATATTTTAACTGTGATAATTAAACTATTAATAGTTTATATGCCTACATCATAAACCTTCACTAATATTGTTTCGTGAAGACTACTATATAGCTAGTTTTGTTGTTAAATACAGGTACTTACTATAACTAACATTAAAACCAAAAATACATAAGTATGTGATACATACTAAATATACCTTTTTATTTCAATCCTACGAATACATAATAAGTTTGGTAATTAAATAATTATAGATAGAAAAATAAATTTATATAAAAGTAATATGTAACAAATCATTTACTCTGTTTCGTACTGATAACTCGAGTTGCGTAACTTGAGTTTAATATCGAGTTGCGTGAATTTCAACTCCAGTTAACCCGAGTCAACTCGAGTTTCCGAGAAGGCACATCTATTATGAAAACTCAAAACACCATGAGGCCATGAGGGATTGAAGCACTTTTGACGGATTTGACGTTTGGAATTAAAATTTTTAGCCTACTACAAAAAGGAAGAGGTTAAAATCTAAAAAAAAATACACTCCAACTGTATGTTTTTTTTTGTAAGTTAGGCAATAATTATCTTCGTCAATGGTGAACTGATTTTGATGACCTTTTTCCCTAATTATTAAAAAAGAATCATTAAAATCGCTCCACAATTGACGAAGATATCGAGTTACATATGTACATAAAAAGAAATATATAAACACTTGAAATGAGATAGTCCATTTTGGAAGTAGGGTTATAAAAGAAATAACAAAACAATACAGTCGAATTGAGTACCTCCTCCTTTTTGAAGTCGGTTAAAATCAACTAAATTGGCGTTCCCTAATTCACTAGATATAAATTTACAGCCTTTATTTTCTCCAGTGCTATACGTGCGTTAGTAAATATATAAACATTTTTCAGCACATTATTAGTGCCCGAAATACTCCAGTTTTCCAATTCAGACATGACAGATTTAGCTTTTGGTGTTATAGGTGGTAGAGCCACATATAACCCGTACCTAACCATAATATATGGCCCGGGGAAGGGCTACGCTCTTACAGAATACCAGCATAAAGTAGCAGCCCAATGCTGCTGTCTTTCGTATGGTGAGTGTAGAGAATCGGAGATCCTTTTTACTAGAAATGTGGCATTCCATATAAATTCTCGCTTTGACAACTTAACTGCGTTTTGATTCTTAGTAGAGGATAGATGTAGATGTGTATAGGCCACTATATCCATTTACCATTATGTAAACTATGTGCTTGCTTGTCACTCTAATAGAATAAAAAAAGTTTGCTAATTATATTTCCATCTCTAGTTCACATATTCTGTCAAAGAGTTGCCTTATCGGAAGCTGTACAACCTTTATACATATAACGAGAAAAGTGTACTTCACGGCTTGAAGAATTTTCCAATTAGGAAACTGGTTATAAATGCTCTTGCTGACGAAGTGAAAGCAAGACTGTCAAACCGTATTTGAGTATTTGACTTAGAATATTTTCACTTTTTTAATCGATAAGGCGGCAATAAAACAGGACTTAACGAAATATTTTGAACAAAGCCTTAGATTTTTTTCTTCGTATTATTTCGTTGCCCTTGCATATTTATTGGCCTGCCAGTTATTACTTGTGACAGCGTTAATCCACTTACGTCCTTCTTCTAGGCATTTTGGATATCTAAAAAAATTGTTACAAAAAAAACGGTAACTAAAATACTATCGTAAAAGTTAATTTAGTTGGTGTAGGTCACTGCATAGACAGAATAGTAATAGACAGCCATAGTGTGCAAGGGAGAAGAATATTTCTCATGGCAATATAGCAAAATAGAAAAGGATAGCAAATTTCATGACTCTGTACCCGATTTTGAATGACAGGTTGCCACAAGTCGGCACGCAAGAAATCACCTAGATAAAATAGTTATATAGAGTATAAAAGTGATTATTTTTAGTAAGTAATTGTTGTCCAAAATGGTTACTTCTTTTGTGAGTGACTGTGGTTCTATAATAAAAATGTATATAATAAAAATAATCCTGATAATTGCACATTTCATAGGTAAATTCTTAAGATGTTGTCACTGTTATAACGCGTCTATTTTTGGTAAAAATGTATGTAATATGCTATTTAAATAGAATATTGTCAATTATTTTCTTAATTTTGATAATTTGAAAAGAAAAAAGTCATGTTGTTAATAATTTGTATGATTTGATACATTTTTCATCAAAATATTTTACATGTTCGCTAGGGATTGACTCAACTTTATTGAAATCAATGTCGATATTTATCTTAAATGTTTTGATAGACTTGAAGCCCACGCAACAAGAAGAGGACTGAAAATAAATGCTCGATCTGCATTGTAAAAGGTTACCTTATCTTGTATTTTACTTTATATACTAAACTTAATCATGTAACTAAGAAAATTTGTAGGAACCTGTTAAATATAATTGTTCTGTTTAAAAGACAAAATCAATTTTTATTAATTTGTTGAAAAATCATTTTGAAATGTTTGCTGGTGAAATAAAAACGGAGACACCGAGTACATAATGACTGTTATATTTATTTATACAAGTAGCTGCCAACCTGTATGTATTTTATTAACATTATGTTAAAAATGAAATTCCCAGAATAAACTGTCTGTGGTGTTCCGGAACTAAAATAAATGAATTAACGTGGCGGTGACAGTATCCTCTCGCATCACTTCCACGCGAAATGCCTGTGCGAGCGGACGTTATCTACCGACCGTCGATTACTATAAACTCGGTGTTTTATCGGGGCTCCCTGAAAGTATATACACGTGTGGACAACACATTGTTTATATGACAGTAAACATTTTCCTCAAAGGGCCATAAATACTTGAAAATACTACATTCTGATCTGTTTCTTGGAGAAAATTGTTAAATTTTATGGATAAATCCAACAAAAGGCTTATTCAGCTTATTCCCGCTATCATGTTTTTGAATAAATAAATAAAAATATTATTATTATTTATTTTGGAAATATCATAGTAAGAAATCAGTTAATTTTTGAAATTATTCAGTTCGTTCAGTTGAACATTTTTACCGTTCCCTTAGCACTTCCAATTACAGTATTGGGGTTGCACTGAAATCATTTATCGAAAGTCCTTATTTGTAAAATATACATCATTAGTGAACGCACACAATGACAAATCAATTTGTCAGGCGTTTTCGGGCTGTCAGGGTCGTCTATTCTACATTACGCCACAAACTAATAAGAAGTTCTAGACCCCTCCGAACCCCAGCCTATGTATTTGAAGTATATATATATATTAAATATTTCAACTGCACCCATGTAGTTTAGAAATAAAAAATAGTTAAAGATCGCTCACCTTATAACATCGATATTACATAAAATAATTGGGTACTTTTTACAATATAAAAAACTGCACCTTGTTTGAATATAATTGCACCATCCTTAAAAATGTATAGAATGCAATCATAAGCACAGAAAGTTAATAAAACCAAATTTTATAAGTGTCGAATGCACCCGCCCTAACCCAGCCTACGAATTTAGAGTATATATAAAATAAAAAACACTGACGTATTTTAAAAAGCACATCTGTAAAATAATAATTATTATTTAAATGCCATCCACGTAGTTTATAAATAAAAATAGGTAAAGATCGTTTACCTTATAACAGAGGTCTCCAAACTTTTATTTCTCGTGGACCAGTATCAAAGTTTTACTATTTTCGGTAGGACCCCTGCTGCTATATTTCTACTGTATTACCAAAACTCCTAAAAATATCACCCTAAATGAGGGTGTTAAGAAGAAAACAAGGAGCCCATTTTCTTGTGTCCTATTTATTAAAATAATACTTGTGGTTATACAAAATTATAAAAACATTTATTATTACAAACAATCAACAATTGTTAAAAATTCAACAATGAACTCTGACATGTAAATCAACAATACAAAATAGTCATACTTTTTAATGAGACGGATGTACTTGATGAATTGACAGCAAATTATCAATATTTGGCTTCAGTTTTGTAAGAAGTAATCTCAAATCTCCCCGTTCTTTGATGTTCAATCTGCTTTTTTTGTGAACAGGTTGGCAATGGCACTAAAACTTCTTTCGACAAGATATGATGAGGGAAAAGCTATCAAAAATTTTTCACAGCCCAGGATATTTTTCGGGGATTTCTGCCTGCAGCCAAAATGTTTGATAGCCTTTTTTAAATTTCACCTTCATATCTTCGTTGGTGCTGAGCTCAAGTAGCTCCTCTTGTAATACCAAATTCGGCTCTTCCGGTTCATTAAATGGGGTTATGATCCATGATAGTATTTCTATAGTCAGAATATCTTCAAATTTATTTTTGAAGTCATCATGCAGGGTATTTAAATGTTGAGCGTATGTCTGAATATCCTGATCAAGACATTCTATTTGTGACAAGTGCGGAAACTGGGAGAATTCGCGCCGAATAATATTTTGCTTCATTTATTTCAATTTACCAAGGAGAAGAGAAATTACAAACTTTGTTTTTATTAAATTAAGGCTGTCCCGTTGTAAATGCAAGTTAACGTCATCGAATTTTTGAACAAATCTGTTAAGTACGCAATGTACGCTTTATATTTGATCAGATTTTCTTTTAAATCTGGTGCTTTAGCTTCCAGAAACTCTATCACTGATTCGAAAAATGAGTAAAATCTCGATAAGCATGCACCTTTGGACAACAATACAATTGCAATAGCACAATAGTGCAAATAAACGGCTATTCAAAGTATTGCTTCTTATTCTATTAACTGCGTTAATCACAAATTGAAGCAATTGGTGTGTAGCCGGTGGAAGAAAAAGGGGAGATCTCCCGCCGGGCAAGGTGTTCTGCCCGGGGAGCGGCCAACGCTCCAATTGGTAGTTCGGAGCTATTGTATATATGCTGCTTTAACTTCGGAACTTTGTTAGTGCGATTTAGGCTTCGATGTGTTTCGCTTGTGGCGCGACGACAGCGTCGCCACAGGTGCAATTTATTATTCAAATTTTTCGCTACAAGGTGTTGTCAGTGGATGACACAGTGAATTGCAATTAGTACTGGTATTATTCTTTTATGATGGCTTATAAACCCATGAAAACGCCCAATCATGGCAAGAGCTCCATCTGCTGCCACTGAAATAATGTTTGTAAATGGAATAGATTTTTCGGTAAAAATCACTTTAATATCGATTTGCCTTTAGTGTATGACTTCAAAGTTTTTGCGAATAGCAGCTCTTCATGGATTTCTTCGTCCATAACAAATCGAACATATGCCAATAATAATCCTTCATTACCAGGCAAAGTAGACTCGTCCAAATGAATAGAAAAATGAGTGGTTTGCTGATAATTACACTTGAATCTTTCTATATCAGAGCTCATTTCATCAATACGTCTTTGTAGAGTGTTGTTACTTAAAGGAATTCTTTTAAGTAGGTCAAATGGAGGTTTGTGCAGAACAGTTTTTAAAACCTCTTCAATAACGGGTAAAATTAACTCTCCTCCGATGGTGTGCGATTTTCCAGATTTCGCTATAAGCAACGAAATATTGTACGATGCCCGCAAGCCATCATCGTTACTTTGAGACGTTAAAGCAAACATACTATTTACAGTAGGTCTCTTTTCATATTCTTCAATGCTTCATCTGAAATAATTTTTCAGATCTTTACCTATTTTTTCAGGATGGCACCTTCTTAGATGGTCTTCGAGCTTCGATGGTTTCATAGAGTCATTTCTCAGAACTTTGTTGCATAAAAGACACATAGGCAATCGTTTGTCTGCCGTTAATGGAAGAAAACCAAATTTCAAATAAACAACACTGTGCTGTCGACATTTCTTCTTAGATTCAGCCATTTTCCGTATCAGATGCGTCCTGTAAAAAATGTTTGTTTTTGAGGCGATTTTACAATTGCAATAAAAAAAAACAAAATGCCCGCAGAAACAACGCTCTTTTAATGAATCGCCGTCGTCGCGTAAATAAATATATTTAAACAAAAAAGTACCTAAGTACCTAAAGTTTAATCTTCCCTGGCTTTTTGTTCTTTTATAGAAGTTTTGAATAATCTCTAGTATTTAAGTTTTACTACTTAACCACCTACTACACTCAAATAATAAAACAAATTTAATATGATTGATAAATTACAATATACAATTAAAATATGTATAACAAATCCGCAGATACTTACTTTTTCACAGTCACACTTTTATGTTCAAAATCCCGGAAAGAAATCAGTAACGTTTTGTTTTGTTTTTTTTTTGCGCCCATAGCCAGGCTACCCTCCGGAAGCGGGGGAGGGAGGTGGTGAATGCTCATAGCATACCACGCAGCCGACTGCGTGGTTATGTGAGACTCACTATGAAGTGCCTACCCATTAAACACCATCTGTGGGACTGGCTTTGCCTGTATGGCCTTGCTGCCAAATCGGAAGCGACCCCCTTTAGGAAAAGGGGGCGGAGGCGGCGAATAGCCGCTGAGAGGCGAACGCTTTGTTCTTGGCATTCGTATTTATACTAATGTAGATTGCAAGCACAGCGCAAGTCACATTTCATCCCTTTGCAGGTCTAAACAAGCATCCCGGACGAGCGGGCGTACGGGCGGCACTTTGCAAGTCTCGACATGTGGTGTACACTTGTTACTTACACTTTATTACACTTCTATTGTTCTACTTAACTCTGTGTTTGAACTGAGTCTCGAATATTTTTGAGTACCTACCTAGTGAATGATGCTACCTGCCGACGTTGATAGGTAAATCCAAGCCAAAATTGTTGTTCTTTATTATGAAAACCAGAAAATTTTTCGTGGACCCCCACTTACAACTTGTGAACCCCTGTTTTCTTTTCACGTCTACGTGGACCCCCGTATGGTCTCCTATGGACCCCTGCGGGTTCACCTGGACCACTTTGGGAATCTACATTCTAGAGTATTATATTAATACGCAAAACAATGCGTCAGTGGTTTGCTCTTTAATTTTAGCACATTTTTAACTTTTTTTTAATTTTTCTACTTTTATGAATATCTGTGGTTTAGTTTATTTATTTTTAATCTTATTAATATAAAATATAGCTAATAGTACAGAAAGAAATAATAACCTTTACATTTTCCGAACAAATTAACTTCCCCGCTATGAAATCTGTCAAATATTATACCTCACTCTCTAGTAGCGCCGCCCTGGTGGCAGAAAATGTCGTGGAGTCATTTGTCAACAACGTGACTTTTTTATTTGCAAAATATAAAAATTGACAAAATAATTTAAAATATTCTATATTTTAACCGATTCGTTGCGGCACCGATTTTCGACAACTTTTAGTTGTGGCCAAAGAGAATATAACCACTACGTTTAATGATAACTACCAAAACATCGCAACGGAATCCATATTCGCTTCATGTCTTTCTATACGTATTTATGATACCGTCGCAAGAAAGAGAAACAACGAATATCAACGAAGGATATCGGTTAGTTCGTGGGCCGTGTTGGCATATTATGGTTCCAATTTGCGTTTTACGTTTCGTACGTTGGTTATTTGGTTTTGGTTGTATATGTGATAACAGTTATGTACTTAGGTATATCGATACGATATGATATTTGATAACATAACGTTATTAGTTACGTTTCGATATATTGGTCCCATGCCTATGAGTCATACAATTTTGATTGTTATGCCTCATCCACACGCTTGGCAAACAACGGCGAACAGCAATCACCAAACAGCAATCACGAACGTGTGGATGGTTGTTCGCCTGTTTGTTTGTTTGTATGTGATTGCCAGTGATCGGCGTTGGTGTCTGTTTTTATGCACCGATCAAAGGGTGTTCGACAAACGTGTTTGCGATGTATCCACACGTGGAATTTCATGACACGCCTGGCGTGTCAATCAGTTTTTATTTTTAGTTTAGTTTGTAAAGTTAGTTTTTTATCTTTGGTTTGTAAAAATAATTTTCTTTTTAATGGTTTTTTCACTTGTTTAGACCTTAAGTTTAGTTGACATCAAACATCAGTTACAAACGGAAGGATACTTGTTTTTAGTGGGTAACTAAGTGTTTTTCTAAGTGTTTTCTTTGAAATTGAGAGTAAGTGACTTTTTTTATGCAGAAATTGCAAACCTTTTGTACTATTTTTTGTTATATAAAAAATCATTTATATAAGTAGGTACAGCTAAATCACCCTTGAAATCCTTGGTTTATATTAGATTAAATTTTCACCTAATTATAACATTTGTAAATATCAAACAATCAAGAATCTTAATTTGGAAAAAAATAAGGTTTATGATTCATTGATGTTAAATATTAAAAAAAAATTACAAATGTTAAATATTATTTAATGTTATATAAATGTAAAAGTAAAGTCGATCTGAAAACGTCTAATTAGTAAGAATAGCAAAACAAGTATTTTCAAAAAGAAAATAACGCCGGCGTTATACTGCGGCGGATTGACAAAAGAGTTTTAGAAGAAGAAGAAGAGAAGAAGATTTATTAGCGAACTTTTTTATGTATGAACGGTTTCGAACAGTTTCAAACAAAAATAAACCTTATACCATGTCACAAGAGCACATGGTACTTCGTAGGTTTATTCGGACATATGCTAGTAATAAGACGGCAGTTCAACCATATTAAGCAAAATTAAACAATAAGACAAACGCATTGTTTTTTTTACAGGAGACTTGTTTTCTAGAAATTTATTTACAACTTGAGTTTGTGGGCGATCGCAATGTGTCATATTATTTGTTACTTATTAGACTATTTTTACACAACATGATTTAAAACCCACAAAGTAAAAAGAGTACCATGTACAAGTTAAAAAAAGGTTGTTAACCCCTAAAAATTTCAAATTTTCAAAATATCCAGAAACGAAGTTATAGGGATGAACTACTTGCAAAATAATGAATATTTTGTTCTGGATAAATCTTCTAAAACGCAATTTGAGTGAGTTATAACAATTTTTAAAAAGACACGACTCGCGTGGCATACGCCACACCAAAAATAATCAATGGCACGCCTGGCGTACCATCCGCACTGAACCGGTTAAAGAGTAGGGGTACTTTTCATTGTAAGTGGTTAATTTTCGTAAATAAACAAATTTGTTATATTTTTGATTGTTTTGTTGAATTTTAGTCTACATATAATATATAGTATATATGTACGCTATAAGCCTAAAAAGAAATGTGTAATTAATTTTAAAATCTAATTAAATTTTTTTCTAGAGAATGTTACAATCATTGCCACTTTAGCATAGTGAATGGCACTATAAATTAAGTATAATCATTGGCACTATTGGAAGTCTTAAAAAATTATACCTAGATCTTTCTAAGCTCGATCTTATTGTATATGGCTTATTTTGATCAAATCTTCTTCAAATATTTTCTTTAGATCTTCATCTGGAAGATACAGGTATTTCTGTTTCAGTCGTTATTAGTCGTTATTCTTAAAATATTTGGTAATTCATGTGCACGGAATGGGGATCATCTAGTATGGCTTGCTGTGATTTCGAGGGCATCAGAAACTTTATGTAATCCACTTTGTGTGGACTACACGGACACAACCCACATGTCTCAAAACATTTGTGAATTTATTTCAATTCGGTAAACGTGTTGCCAATGTAGGCCCGCATCTGTTTTAGTAATCTTTTTGTCAAATTGTTTGTCCGCCATTCGAAGACAGCTTTACACCACACAGCTTTGATTAAGGTTAAGGGCTATCGGTATTCTTGATCAATCTAAAATATGAAAAAAGTAAGTTATAATCATTGGCACTACTCAAAGGATACAGTAATTGGCACTGTCAAGAATAGATTTTGGACAAAAGAATGAAAGTGTAGCAATTGACAATACGCTAATCTATTTAATTGAATCAGGCGTTACTTTGTGGAAATCCAATATATTAAAGCTTTTAAAAAGTTACCTCGCAAACATCCGCTATAGCTAAACTATAGCTTAGCGGTCAGTTTGACAGCTCCGTGGCGCAGTGGCTTAGCAATGAGTCGCTGCGCTGGGGGGCGCGGGTTCGAACCCCGCACGGAAAAAGTATTTGTATGGCCTACAAATAATTGTTCCGGGTCTGGATGTTTGTCCTTGTCAAATTTGTGTTTGTAAACTGCCTCCACGATACAGGAGAAAATCCTAGTGTGGGGGGTAACGTTTTTTAAGAAAAGAAGAAAAAAAAGAAGTCACCGCAGAGTCTACATCACCTGAGGATGCCTCGAGTAAAGGCGAAATACGTGTCGTATTGTCGTCAGTGGTGTGTCTTTCCTAGTGTAGTGGTGTTGGGAGTAGTGGTTCTGGGATTAGTGGTGACGGGGATAGTGCACGCAATTGAGTGAGGGCGGGAGGTGCTTTTCATACTAGGTAAGACACATCATTTTATTTTATCGAGCGGATGTTTGCGAGGTAACTTTTTAAAAGCTTTAATATGCTAATCATTATGTTGTCAAACAAATTAAAGTACAGTCATTGACACAATTAAAAAAAAACTGATGCTTCTTTTCCACAGCGATAAAATAACTTTTAATATACTTTAATGACGTAAGTTGACAAAAATCACTGACTTCTATATATAAAATAGATAGAAACTTGCATATAAAATAACCTAAAAATCACTTTTTTGTCTC